GTTTGTTTTGGTGCAAAAAATTTTTGAAATGCATGCGATTATTTTTAACCGATGAAAAATATTTATGCCAAGTTATTTTATGCAGTTTTCCTCAGGACTTGTGATAACCACATCTTTTAAATCTGTAAATAATGTTAACAAAAATAATATTAATCTTTGAAATCCCACAAAAATGTATATTTTACAATCCATCCTGAATATCAAGGCTGCAAGAACAACACATTTCCTATACCCAAGTATTTTACAGCTGTACCCAAAAAGAAAAACAAAAGAGCACATATGTTTAGGTAAGGGCTAAAGTTACCCACTCAGCCAAAAATAAAATATCCAAATTATTAGCATTAATTAAATACAAGTATGACTTCAGTAGTCACTTTGTCATTGACAGTGATTGCTTGAGCACAGGGGCGAGTGCCCCAGGGCTGGAAGTAGAAGCTGTTGCTGCACACCAGTATATTTGCATGTCTGCACTGCCAGCTCCCGCCTGTGCATCGCCCCATATACATCGGGTTTGTGTGTACACGTATATTTTAAAAATCTTTCCCCCTACACAGACTTTTTTCTGTTAAGCAGATAACATGGAATAAGAACAACAAAAGCTACACAAACCAGTTGCTTTCTCTTTGGGTTACAATTATTTCCCTTGTGCATGGAGAATTCAATGAAAGCAAACGGAAGGGAAAAGAACGATTTCTCTCATACACTCCCTAAACACACAGGTCGAGTTTGCTGGGTCAGATATGACTGTGAGCATTTCTATGTCTGCTTCCAGGCATCAGCATCTGATGCTTCACGCTACTGGTTTCTGTGTCTGAGCCCTCAAAGTCAGTGCTTCTCCAAGGGGAGAACAGGCCGGAATGTGGCTCTGCAAGAAGCCATCTTTCCTGAAGCCATTTCTTCTCAGCTGCTCTGTCTTCATGTGGAACTCTTTGAGCTCATCTTCTGCGAGGGGAAGGCAATTCTCATCATTTTCAGGGTATTCCTGCCATCCCATTGCTTTCAGTAACCTGTGCCCTGCTTCCAGGGAGTGTGGGAGGACCTCCCCTTCTTCTACCATAGGGAGAAGACGACCATTCTGAGGCCAGCCTTCCTCTCTATCTGCCCTTGGCCCAGGTGTGCTGCTGTCCTCCAGATCTCGGGTCTGTCACAGTCTGTGCTCTCCGAGAAGTCTCCGTTTCCGTCATCCTCGAGATGGAACTCGCTCTCCTGTCAGTGGTTCGGTGGGTCAGCTTGGTCAGATGAGAGGAGCTGACCTCAGTCGGAGGGGTGCTGCTGGAGGGACTCTCTTTGGGAGAGTTTAAAACTGCAGCACCAGCCAGTACCACTGGCTTCAGATCGGAGATTGGACTGGTAAAAGCAGACTCCAGGCTAGAGGAAAGGGATGCTGATGTGTGTGTGTTCCATTCTATTAGCTTTCCATGCCTTGGGGTTGGAAACCTTGGGCTTAGCATCCAAGTCCTTATAGATGCTTGGAACCATGGTTGATGCTTTGTTCCCATTTGCGTGGGAAGATGCTGATGAGGTGAATGCAGCAGAGAAGGCAGCAGCAGGATCCTCTTTGGAAACTTCGTTGATGATGAACATCTTGGAAGTTTGCTTGCTACTAGGTGGGTTTTCCCACACTCCAGAAAGGGTCCCAGTAGGTCTGCATAGCTGACTCTGTTTGCCAGCTTCTGGATTCAGAGAAGGAATATCTTCCTCTTCAAATTGTAATTTTTCCACCTTTTCATCTTTGTTTTCTCCCCTGATCTCTGTTGGAAGCTTTTCCTGAAAGGCACAGCCTCTCCAGGTGTGCAGACTGCCACTCCAGTGTTGATGGTTCCCTGCTCCACCTCCGTTATGCTGGCTCACGCCATCACGATGATCTTGGGAAGAGCCATGCCAACCAGATGTGTTCTCTGTGATCCAGCATATGCTCTTTTTTTTTTTTTCTTTCTTTTTTGACAGGCAGAGTGGACAGTGAGAGAGAGAGAGAGAGAGAAAGGTCTTCCTTTTCCGTTGGTTCACTCTCCAATGGCCGCCGCGGCCGGCGCGCTGCGACCGGCGCACCGCACTGATCCGATGGCAGGAGCCAGGAGCCAGGTGCTTTTCCTGGTCTCCCATGGGGTGCAGGGCCCAAGCACTTGGGCCATCCTCCACTGCACTCCCTGGCCACAGCAGAGAGCTGGCCTGGAAGAGGGGCAACCGGGACAGAATCCGGCGACCCGACCGGGACTAGAACCTGTTGTGCCGGCGCCGCTAGGCGGAGGATTAGCCTAGTGAGCCGCGGCGCCGGCCCCAGCATATGCTCTTAAGAGACACCAGAGTCCACAGAATCATGGCGGAACAGGGAGGGCTGGTGCCAGGAATCTGTAGTTCATAGGGATCCATTGTTTAAAAAGCTATCAGATGAATTGTGTTGACGACAGCATACTCCAAATCTACTTTCCCCTCGGGGAAGATGTTCTCTGTGTTTTTCAAAGGTGGCTATAGGTGACGTAGCTGACTGTGGTGTTGAGAAATGTAGCCAAGCAGGAACAAAATCATGCTGTGCCGTTTAGGTTCAGTGTCTCTTTTTAGCCAGGTGAGGCATCCAACTCACAGCCGGGATCCCAGAGTGTAACCCTATGGTTCTGTTTCCCAAACTCCTTGGGTCTGCCAGCTGGATCTCCCACGAGATTTTCTTGTGAAAGGGGTGCTTAAGTAGCCTGGCTTGCAGCATACCTTGTAATGAAGCCCAGAAAAAACCGGACACCATGTGGACCACTCTGAGTCCCCACAATTGCACATCTGACACATTTCCAAATAGGGGAAGGGAGAAGGGGGACATCAAAAGTATTTGTTACATTTAAAAAGGGGGGAAGGGGAAAGAGCTGTGTCTGCATGCACCTTTTAACTTCCTTGAGCAATGGCACTGTGATGTTGCTTAAATAGTAACACACGGGCGTTTGCACAGTGAGTGCAAACACTGTTCATAATGTCCTAGCTAGAGACAGGTAGGCTCATAGGTTGGAAAACACTGTCATTAAGGGGATAAGTGAGAAATAAAATATTATACCATTATAAAAGATCTTCTGAGTAGTCAACTGCAGTGGCAAAAACATCCACGTGACAAAGCCCTTAAAACACAAATCTCGTTATTCTCACACAACTGCTAAAAAGTGTGCAGGTGTATTTATACTTGTTTTATCCGTCCTCATCTAAGGACATAAGAAATCTTGTTTATAAAATTAAGAAAAATCCGACAGGAACTTGATATACTTTTCCCTCCACAGAATAGCAGCTTTCAAGGCAAATTTCTTGGTATAAAGGTCCTAAATGTATATTCTGTTTTTTTGGTCTTAATAATTCAGAGTAAAATTCAAACCAGTAAAAGATAGGAGTAAGGGATAGTCAAGGAGAAAGTTCCAAAATGAGTTTGCTTCCCTTTTATTTCCTGTACTAGTGGAGTACAAGTAATGCTCTGCTCCTTCCCCAAAACTGAATCCAGCTGCTCCTGGAAGGTGATTCGAAGGATCTGCTGCAGTACAGAAATCACTAATTATTTTGGATCTATATCAGTCATTAAAAAGGCAACACAAATTCACTCATTTTTTTAAAAGATCTATTTATTTATTTGAAAGAGTTACACAGAGAAGGAGAGGCAGAAAGAGAGAGAGAGAGAGAGAATGAATCTTCCATCTGCTGTCTTACTCTCTAACTGGCCGCAACAGCCGGAGCTGTGCCGATCCGAAGCCAGGAGCCACCTCCGTGTCTCCCATGTGGGTGCTGGGGCCCAAGGACTTGGGCTATCTTCTGCCTTCCCAGGCCACAGCAGAGAGCTGGATCAGAAGTGGAGCAGTCTGGACTCGAACCAGCACTCATATGGGATGTTGGTGCCGCAGGCAGTGGCTTTACCCGCTACACCACAGCGCCAGCCCCTCACTGTTCTTTTTTCATGTATGTGCATTGTTGAGATTCCAGACCCCAATGGGCCACTTGGCCCTGCTCCAAAGGCCTGCAATGCTGCCAGTTTTTTAATAATATGCATTTTCCATGAACTTTTTGAAGGCCCCTCATGCATGTTTTTTTGTATTCATAAATGATTCTTTTTTAAAGATTCATTTGTTTTGAAAGTGAGAGTTAACAGGATCAGTACTGTGGCATAGTTGGCTGTGGTGTTGGCATCCTGTTTGGGCACCCATTCAAGTCCCGGCTGCTCCACTTCTGATCCAGCTTCTTGCTAAATGTGCCTAGGAAAGCAGTGGAAGACGCCCCAATGCTTGGGCCCCTGCACTCACGTGGGAGAACCAGAAGAAGCTTCTGGCTCTTGACTTTGTATCTGCTCAGCTCTGGGCGTTGCAGTCATTTGGGGAGTGAACCAGCAGAGGAAGACCTTTCTTTTTCTCTACCTCTCGGTGTAACACTTTTAAACAAAATACATTTTAGAAAGAGAAAGCAAGCTTCCATCTGCTGGTTCACTTCCCAGATGGCTGCACCAGCCAGTGCTGGGCCAGGCCAAAGCCAGGAGTCAGGAGCTTCATCTGGGTCTCCCAGGTGGGTGGCAGGGGCCCTAACACTTGGGTCATCTTCCACTACCTTTCCCAGGCCATTAGCCAGGAGTTGAATCAAAAATGGAGCAACCAGGACACGAACTGGTGCTCATATGGGATGTCGGCATTGTAGGTGGTAGCTTTACCTGCTGTGCTGCAACACAGTCCCCAATAAATGATTATTTTCTATAGATTAAATTCTCAGGAAAAAAACTACTGAATCAAAAGGTTTAAAATTTTGGTAGTTACTCTAAAGGTGCTCTCCAAACATAAGCTGTGCCAGTTTCTACTTCACTATCATACAGAGTGGGGAGAGAGAATCATTTCCTACCACTCTTGCCAACAGTGGGTAATAACAGTCTTTGGAATATGTGATAATAACATAACCAAAAAGAAAAATTCATCTGTAGCTGGTACAATTATAAATAAGTGAATATCAGTAACAATACTAGAAAACTAACCAAGAGAAATGTGTCATTTTGCTTTCAGATCAGTGCTGACAGTTGCTTGTGAACAGACTGAAGTTCTTCTTTTTGACCCAATATCTTCAAAGCACATAAAAACTCTTTCTGAAGCTCATGAAGACTGTGTGAATAATATCAGGTTAGTATTATAGTGAAAGAATGAACTTTATCAGTGTGGCCCAAAATAATCTGCTTTAAAAGTTGGTGAAAATATGTAATACTTTGTCTAGCAGTGCTAGATGATCTGTATTTATTAATTGAGAATATAATTCCTTGCATCTTTCTGAAATACATTTTTCACTTTCATTTGAATTTGTGTTTTCTTTTCCTTTATCAGGATCATTATTCTGAACTGCAGCCAAGTATTATACTAGTCCTATAATGCCTTTCTGCTATGATCTGTGTAGAAATTTGGCAGTCCTATTGTTTAGCCTCCCTCACCACCACCCCGCCAAATCCAAAGCCTTGAAAGGAAAAAACATGCACAGAGAGCTTCTTTGTAATTTGGGAAGTAAATTACAGTTGAATAGTTTCGTGGATTAATATGCAGTCATTAAAATGATGGTCATAAAGACTACATAGCAACATAGACTAATGCTTGGGAAATATAGGTTAAAATCAAGATAAAAATTGTACAAATACAAATTGCAGAAAAAAATTAAAAGGATATATTTTTAAATGCTGTCAGTTGTTAGACTGAAAGGATAGGTTATAGGTAATTTTCTATTCTACACTTTATGTAATGAGATTGTTACTTGTATATTATGTGAGATTGTCACTTGTATAATTATTACTTTTAATGTTAGAAAAAAAGAAATGTGGAAATTACTTCTAATCAAGGTACTACTGAATTGTGATGTAACCTCAAGCTTTAAACACATAGAACAATGGGTTAAATAGCATAAAATGAGTAGCTAAATTCTAAAACAACCTAAACATCTTTGAGTGCCAGAAATGGAATGCAGACACAAAGCTGTGAGCAAGACTGAAACCACAGGCCTGCTGGGTTTTCAGTCTAGCACTGACATCTAATAGTTCTGCTCCTGTCAGACAGAAGCATTAAAACACACTGAAGTGCTTCACATGAGGCAGGAACCAGGGCCAGGGTCACCACCTAAAGCCAGGTGTTTGGTTGAAATGTCTGTCTCATTTGTGAAAGGCTGTAAAAAGAAAAAAAGCAGTTTCCTCCCTGGGGCTATGGGTTTCAGCTGATAGACACAGCCTCATCAATAGAAACTGAATGAAGCCACTTGCTGAGTCACTGACTGAATGTGTATATGTACTATTCCCAATATCACTGTGAAACTGGACCCCTGAAATGTCAGTTTAGGGCCAGCATGTAGACCCAATACCCAGAAGGCCCAGTGGAGGACAACTCTAAAACCATTGACTAGGAAGAGAGAAAAAAAATTAATCTGTCCTACTCAAAATGAGCCTATTAACCAACGTTCATAAGGACATCTAATATTAATATAACAAAATCAGCCACCACAACATTTTCTCTGAATGAAATTAATTTTATGGAGTAGTCCAACAAAAACTTCATTATAAAAAATAAATTATTTTATTTATTTTTTTTCGACTAGGTAATACATGCACGTGGTACAAAATTCAAAGGTACAAAGGGGTAAACAGTGAAAAGTAAGTCAATCTCCACCTCTGTCGCCTAGCCACCCAGTTTCCCTCCCCAGAGGCAACCACTATTAGAATTTTTGCTGTCTTTTCTGAGAGTTTATGCATGTATAAGCATATATATCTCTCTATACACACACACACACACACACACACAGAGTTATATGAATGGTAGCATTCTACACATGCTATTATGTATACTTTGCCTTTTTCACTTAACATATTTAGAGATCATTCCATATCAGTACCTATGGAATGATCTTACTCCTTTTAACGGCTGCATAGTATTCCATTGGTTGGGAAAACTTTTAAGCATTTTTCAGGATGCTCAGAGAAATAAATTAAGAGATACTTTACAGTTAAAGAGAACTGAAAATTTTTAAATGAAAGAGGTAAAACAAGCACAGGCTAATGTAGTTTAGAACCAAATAAAGCTCTTAGAAATTAAAAAAATGTAATTGGTCATAAAAAGCAAGAGATTGGATAAGATTTATCCTTTATACCATTGATGAATGTATTAGTGAGTTGGAAAATAGTACTAAAAACTTCTCCCAGAACACAGAAAAAAGGTAAAAATATTAAAGAGTAGTTAAAAGAAAGTTAAAGAAATTCTGATGTATATTAAGAATTCTAGAAAAAGAAAATGCAAAAAGGCCACCACCTGCAGTGCCAGCATCCCATGTGGGTGCTGGTTTGAGTCCTGGTTGCTCCACTTCAATCCAGCTTCCTGCTAGGACCTGGAAAAGCAGAAGATGGCCCAAGTCCTTGGGCCCCTGCACCCGCATGGGAGACTTGGAAGACGCTCCTGGCTCCTGGCTTCAGATTGTCCCAGTTCCAGCCATTATGGCCATTTGGGGAGTGAACCAGCAGATGGAAGACCTCTCTCTGCCTCTGCTTCTGTAACTCTGCCTTTCAAATAAATAAATCTTAAAAAAAAGAAGAAGAAGAAGAAAAATGCAGAGCCTGGTGGAAAACTTAATGTGTAATTGCTGAAGATTTGTGGTATTGAAGAAAGGAAGGACCTGAGTCCTCAAACTCAAAGTTAATTTACTGTGTCAAGCAGGTGAAATCAAGATATATACATAACTACCCAGGTTATAATGGTGACCTGTTAGAATATCAGAGGTCAAGAAAACATCTTAAAAGCCACCAAAGTTAGTAGCCACATTACTTAGAGATGTGATAATTCAGCTGAAAGATTCCTCATCAACAATGGTTGACACTAGGAGAAAGTAGAATAATACTAATATCTTGAATATTAAGAAAAAATAATGCAGTATCATACTATATCCAGTTAAACAGGTAATCCAAATTGGAGAATTTTAATTAGGAAAATGTTATTAATGTTACTAGCTAAATGTTATAATTACTAATAGCAGGAAGAAAATAAGGTTTTTTGGAGGGAACTACATTTAAAACAATGTTTAGAAAAAGTGTTAAAACAAACTAGATTAGTACTAATAGAAATGTAATGTTAGGCACATGAATAATTTTCAATTGTGTTGTTACACTAAAAACTAACATTTTCAATAATTTATTAGGCCCAGTATGCCCAAAATGTTATCATTTCCACATGTAATCAATGTGAAAATATTGAGATTTTATTTTTTTGTAATGTTAAGTGTTAAATCCAGGGTATATTTACACTTAAAGCATATCTCACTTCAGATTGGCTACATATCAAGCTGCATGTGGCTAACGGCTGCCATACTAAATAGTGTAGGTTTAGACAGTAGCAACAGATTGAATGTACGGTGTAGCCTTGTTCAATAGGACAGTATAAAATTTTATAGGGTTGTGTCATATTCAAGAGGAAAATAGAAATATTAATTCAGACTTAAGAGTAATGAATAATTAAGTATATATGATGGAAAAATACCAGAAAGGTAATTAAAATAATGAAAATTCAATTTATAACTTTTTTTCCAGCCAAGGTGGAAGAAATATTGAAAACTTGACCAATTCAGGCGAAAACAAGGAAACTATTTTATTTTTAAAAATTTATTTAAAGATTTTTAAGTAAAGGGAAAGGGTGATAAATAGAAAATCATAAGTAACATTTCAAATATATAGATAGTTCACAATAAATATAAATGGGTTGATCTTTTAAAAATTTTTTCATTCATTTATTTTAATTTATTTGAAAGACACAGAAAGAGAGTTTTCATCTGCTAGTCACTGACCAAATGCCTGCAGCAGCTGGGGCTGAGCCAGGCTGAAGCCAGGAGCCTGGAAATCAGTCTGGGTCTTTCATGTGGGCAGGAAGGACACAGATACTTAAAGTGTCACCTGCTCCTTCCCACGGTGCACATTAGTGGAAAGCTAGAATTGAGGGGCCAGTGCCGTGGCTCACTAGGTTAATCCTCCGCCTGCAGCACTGGCATCCCATATGGGTGCTGGGTTTTAGTCCTGGTTGCTCCTCTGCCAGTCCAGCTCTCTGCTGTGGCCCGGGAGGGCAGTGGAGGATGGCCCAGGTGATTGGGCCCCTGCACCCACATGGGAGACCAGGAGGAAGCACCTGGCTTCTGACTTCGGATTGGTGTAGCTCCCGCCATAGCGGCCATTTGGGGGTTGAACCAACGGAAGGAAGACCTTTCTCTCTGTCTCTCTCACTGACTAACTCTATCTGTCAAATAAAAAAATAAATAAATTATTAAAAAAAAAAAGCTGGAATTGAGTCCCAGAGCCAGGACTTGAACCCAGGTGCTCAATATGGGATATAGGTCCCCCCAAGTGTTTCAGCCACTGTGCTAAACACCTGTCCTGATCTTCCTTATTGAAAAATAGACAGTCAACACTTTGAGTACAAAAGAACAACATCAGTAGTATATTCTTGTTTAGAGATACCAAAATAAAAGCACCCAGAAACAGGAAAAGAAAACTGCTAGAGATGATCAATATCTGACAAACGACCAAAGGCTTTATTAAGAATACAGTGTGACAGTATATATTAATAAAAGAAAAAACCTACCAAGAAGATATATAATTATGAACTGTGCACTTTAAATATAATTTTGATATATACAAGCAAAAACAGTTATGGAGAATTAGGAGTCTGCAGTCACAGTGAGAAGTTTTAACATAGTTCTGTCCAAAACTAGTAAATCAAGTAAATACAAATTAGACTCTAGAAGAATTCAAAATATGCTGAATAATCTTCCTATTAAAAACAATATGCCATATAAAATGTGGTGAATTAAAAAAAATATTTATTTGAAAGGTAGAGATACAGAGAGGCAGAGGCAGAGAGAAAAAGGGGTCTTCCATCTGCTGGTTCACTTCCCAGTTGGCCTTATCAGTCGGAGCTGTGCCGATCTGAAACCAGGAGCCAGGAGTTTCTTCTGGGTCTCCCACACTGGTGTAGGGACCCAAGGAGTTGGGCCATCTTCTGCTTTCCCAGGCCATAGCAGAGAGCTTGATCAGAAATGGTGCAGCCAGGATTTGAACTGGTGCCCGTATAGGATGCCGGCATTGCAGGTGGCAGCTTTACCTGCTTTACCACAGCTC